CATTGTTCCTTATGTATAGAAGCTTTTTTAGTCCTTCGTATCATTCGAAATTTAGCTTTCGTTTATCAGGTAGATAATTTCGATAGCTAGACTGTAGGCTGGGGCAATGCAAAAAACACTTATATGTCTTTTTTCAAGATGAGATATCATATGCCAGCAATAATCCTAATAGAGTTGTAGATATTCTCCAACTTTCACAAAAAATTCGCGATCTACGATTTTGCAATGTAGTTTTTCATTCAAATTTGATTAATGAGCATCCATAGTACATGGATAAACGTAACTTCAATTTGAACTCCAATTCCCTTTATAGAATCTCTTTCCTTGCATTCTCTTCTTACCCTCGCTCATTTTGTTAAACAAGAAATTTGAAAATCCATGGTCAGTTGTATTTTCATTGGTTGGTCAGTTGTATTTTCATTGCTAAAAATGTATGCTATAACAAGCATTTATATAATCAATGGCTCTCTAGATCCCCTGAAAATCCTCCCCAACTTTTGCAACTGAGGAAGCCCGGATGGCTCGTAAACTCAGCCATATACCCATTCATTTCCTCATCACATACACCGCTCCTGTACTAAAATTCTCTAAATCAGAGAACTTTTCCTTGTTCATGTCAAGTTTTCTTCTATTGCCTCAAGTTGTTGTGTTAGCGCGCAAATGTTCCAATCGCGGAAACATTGCTTAAAAATTCCAGTTGTTGCTGCGGATTTTCTATTTTCATCTGATACTCTATCTTCACCTCTTTGCAAATCGCATCATCTATTTTATCCATAAACACAAGGATAATGTTTCTATCATTATTTTGATTTTGATTTGTGAGATTGATAAATCGCGTTACTTTAATCCATAATTTACAGTTGATTGATTGAAATAATATTTTTTGCATCAGTGGTCACGTATTGCAAACATTTTAGCGGTGAATTTTCATTAGAGAAGCAGATCTCCATTGCATTCAACGAAGGGTTAGATGTTGATTCTCTTAGGTGCAAAAGCTCCATATGAAAATGCAACTTTATCTATGAAAACAGTCAGTATTTTGAAACACGAATGCACGAGTTGCTTTGATGATTCTATTTTTACAAACGTTTTAACACACAATCAGACCTTTCATCAGACATTACGTCTCAAATTCGTACAAAATCTGGTCCACCATTAGTCCTCTGTATGGCCGTTTCTTATCTGATTTGTCCATCTCCAAACAATTAAAAAGCCAGGAAAATAAGGAATAATCTTTTAATGTGTTTCGGTTTATTCATTGCTTTATTTTGTTATATCGTTTAATACATGATTTTCAGTCTTCTTTTCAACACCGTGGTCCTGTTTTTAGATCAATAATTTCATCGCTTTCTGCGTTTATCACATTGTGGCCCTAACAAATGATTGGAAGTCTGTGTCCCTGGGAAACAGATGCTATTAAACATAAATTGGTTCTTTTTCTTCAACTCGTCGTTGGATCTTTGGCGATTAATTTTATGCAAGCAGTCACCTTTCTGGAATCATATTAACTTTTTTCAATACTAAATAAATCCTGTCCTTACTGTTCAAAATCTTTTTGCTGAGACAATAACAAATATGCTTCAAAAACATTGTTGTTTTAGCCTTTCCATCCACCTTAGTTTATTACAAGCATGTCTATCGTGTTCAATCTGTTTGTTACAAGCACAGAAGATTTCTCAGCCTATCTATTTTTCTCTAAATAAGTCCCTTTATGCATAAAACATCTTTCAAAACTGTCCTGATTACAGTGTTTTCTTCGAGATGAATCTTGTTATGTACCAATAAATTTCAAGATGCTTGCTAACTCTCGTGGTGGCGATCTAAAGTGAGGTTAGTTATGGACCCTATTGTAATTAGACGAAAGCTTGAATTGCTTTCTGTGGTGTCCGCTTGAGTTTTGTTTGCAGCTATTCAAAGATGTATTTCTGTGGAGTTTTACTGTCCTGGGAAAATGTGGTGAGACTATCACAGTACATATTTTTGTAAATGCTTATGTTTCTGTGGTGCAAGTAATCTCAGTGTAGTGATGCCTTTTGTGAGTAGTCTCTCTACAACGGCACAAAGATGCACAATAATGTAAATAATATACTTCTTTATGGCACTGAACATAACCAAAATCTCAATCAGCTATTGATACCTAGGGTAAATATCTGGGCTCTAGCATTTTTGTTGAAAATCATACTTGTGCATTATCTAGCATTCTCTTATGCGTAAGAGGTTAGAGAGAAAATTGTAATGAGAGAGAAAGATATTAGATGAAAACAGAAGTTAAAGCAGTTGAAATTTGTAAATACACTATATTCCCATTTTTACATAGTATGGTTTGATATTATGGTATGCAACTATCTAATACCAGAGAAATAACTTGGTTTAAATGAATGAAATTGGCTTGGTAACAGCTAATTGTTTTGTAAGAAGAAGAGAATTGACGTGGAAGAAAAACTGTAACTGTAAATATCTTTTGGTATGTTTTCTGGGCTTAAATTGCTGTAATCAGTCTTGTTCGTCACGCAGACACTGGTCTCAACCACGGCTTTCTGCTGCAACATAACATTGTTACTATTACAAAGACATCAAGTTAAAAAATAAACAATTACAGTCAAAAGAAAAACTGGATTAAGAGTGCTACAACCTTTGAACCATGAATATAAGATAAAAATGATTGAAATTTTCAAAGTAAGCTTGCTAAAGTAGGATAAATTAATGTGTTTAAGAACTGAAACAGAAGGGAGAACGGCAATTAAGCCAACAATGGAGAGATGGTAAGAGTAAAACTTAAGCTTGTTTAAGAGAGGGCGTTCATTCTGCGAAGAGTATCTGAGGATTTAAAATATTGTTCGGGGAGTAAGGCGAATTAGCGAGGAATGAAAACGCATCACAAGAACGAAGGAGGGAAATATTTGTGCATATGAACTAGGCTTCAGATATTATGCTTTCCGGATTATATATTTACATAAATAAGAAAATAAAACAAAATGTTGGAATGCAGTGTTTGGGTTAACGTCATTTGTGTATAGATTATATTGTATATAGTGTTTATGCAGGTTGGCGAATATACATACAAGAGCTAATCAGGAAGTTTAGAAGGGAAAATAATAGCTGTTTGACAAGATTTTGTCGAAACAATCTTTCCGCTCTTCAGTATAGTAGTCAAATCTATGTGAAAGGACACAAAATACGCATATTTGTCTTTCAACTTAAGCAGATGGATTAAATGTGAAAATTCTTTCTTGATCTCCTTATCTTTAGTTTAGGAATATAGTGTCTCTTTCGTATGCTATTTATGACAACTTTATTTGTTTTTATTTGAAAAATTCGTCATTGGTCGATCATAGAAAAAATATCGCTTTGTGCCTCAATCGTGTTTATATGTCCCGAATTCCCATTCAGCATAACTAGAGACGAATATCGTCCAAGATAAAGAAGATTAGTATCCTCTTAGGGCAGGGTTTGATATCAAATAGATTTGTTACTTAATAAAGAAAGGAGACGTTCCAAACAGTGTGCCATACAAACTAGCACTTGCTGCATCAATCCTGCAGGTTATTTAGGTTATGTATTTAGGTTAAAATATTCGCGCTGGGTGAGGTAATACATTTAGATACACAATCAATTTAGTGGAGTTCTTCTTTTATCAACTCTTGAATGTGAATTACTTTTTGATGAGATTGCCCAGATAAACCAACGAAGCTTCTTTACTCTCTGAGACATTTTCATTAAGACTTTTTAGATTTTTAGTTTTGTAGGATTTCCCGGATTTAACTCTTACTACATCCTGTACTTTATTGCCTTGAAGGTATTCATCGATCATCTTTATCATCTATTTATGTGAAGCTTCTCTTTGTTAATTCTTTGTTGTATTTTTAAGCTCTTAATGAAGTTTTTTCTATCAATCTTGTTCTTGGATTTAAGTTTACAAAAAATTTATTTCGTTTCATGAAGCTTTAAATTTCGTGGTTTCCCTAACCTTATGTTTTGCATGAAAGGAATAGATGATACTGATGGAAATATCAACATAGATATTAACATGTCGAATATATAATTTTTCATTTTTGAACATTCATTCTGCTGTGATTCATTAATGTTATGTTATGTTATGTTATGTTATGTTATGTTATGTTATGTTATGTTATGTTATGTTATGTTATGTTATGTTATGTTATGTTATGTTATGTTATGTTATGTTATGTTAGTTATGTTATGTTATGTTATGTTATGTTATGTTATGTTATGTTATGTTATGTTATGTTATGTTATGTTATGTTATGTTATGTTATGTTATGTTATGTTATGTTATGTTATGT